TAGGACAAAGGAAAATGGTTTCAAATTAAAAGAGAGGAGATTTAGACTGGACATAAGAAAGAAGTATTGAGGAACTGGCACAGGTTGCCCAGAGAGGCTGTGGATGCCCCTTTCCTGGAGATGTTTAAGGTTAGGCTGGATGGGGCTCCAAGCAACCTTACTGCAGATCTCCCTGTAACGCTGCAGGAGTTGGACTGGAAGACCTTTATGTGTCCCTTCCAACTCAAATAATTCTGTGATTCTATGGGATGGAGAGCAATCACAGCAAATTTGCAAACAATACTAAAATGTGGGTGAAAATTGATAAACTCAAGAACAGGACTTCAATGCAGAGGATCCTAAATAAGTTGGAGAAACAGATTCACAGGATCTGTGAATATATACAGAGATATATGTGAATATATACAAAGATACACTGGTAAAATTCTCATCAGGGGAGAAATATTCTTATGCAACAGAAAAGGGTAAGAACCATCACAGGATCTTAGCAGGGAAAGACTTGGAGGTCCTGATGGACAGCAAGTGGCACATGAATCAGTACAGTGCTCTTAAAGACTAACCAAAAGTTGTTAATGACAGAAGTGTAGCCAGCAAGTTGAGGGAAGAATTTCTTCCCCTCTTTGTGAGAAGACATCTCACATGTGTCCAGTTTTGAACTCCTCAGTACAAGAAAGATACTGATATATTAAACTGAGCCCTCTGGAGAGTCACCAAGCTGTTTAGAGCCAGGTAATCATGATGTATGAAGAGAACCTGAAATAACTGGGCCTGTTCAGTCTGTGAAGAAATGTACTTGACAAGAATGAATGAAAGGAGTAAGTCTCATTTACTTTCACCCACATATAAAAACATATTTCAGTGTCCCTGTATGATCCAGAAATATTTTGCTATGTTGAAAAAAAAAATAATCCTATCTGTTGAAGATTCAATGGCTATATATATATCTTCAACAGACAGGATTATATATATATATATATATATAATATTTACTTTTGGAATTCTATGAGAACTCACAATTGGCTAAATACTCCCATATATATCAAATCCAGTCCTTCAAAGCACATAATGTATGCTCATAAAATACCACCAAATCATCACTAATTGAAACAATGTAGATTTCTTACAGTTCTTCCATTTTCGTCTACATGCTGTTCCAAGGGCCCTATAACTTCTTAGTTAATCTATGCATATTCATATAATGATACCATACTAATTAAACTAATGAATCAAAAACCATGATATTCATATTTTCTTAATCATCTCCCCTGCCAGGATGTAGGAGACACTACTTTCACAACATAGCTGAGAAACTGAGGGACAGAGAAGCTCGTAGGATTTCCAAATAGAACTTTGTCAGAGCACAAACTGAAGCTAAATCTCTGAGCTTTCAAGCCAGTACTTAACCACAAACTAATTCTTCAAATAGAAGCGGGATGAAGTGTACTATGACTGTTGGAAACTCATCTTCCTCTTCTGAAATAGAAGGAAAAGCAAGTGGTTTGGACTAAGAACTAGACAGAGAGAGCAGGAAGACTGTCATGTTGTGAAAGAAGTCCTCAAGAACTCAGACAAAGGAAGGCAAAGACCAGTTTAGGCCCAGCAAGTTGATGGAGACCGAACGGTTTTACTGGCTGATTCTGGTGTGGGTGGGAAACCTTCCTGTGTGCAGGCCAAGAAGCACAGGCTGGCTGGGGCTTTCACTTTCCTTGTGTTTGGGATGAGCTAGTGAAACGTGGCAGAGCTGAGTACGTAGCTGGCCATCTGGAGGATGTCAGGTGACAGCTGCAAAATGAAGGGGAGCTGTCTTCTCTCCATTAGCTCAAGGTCACCCATGATGAGAAGTTAAAAACGCTCACTGCTGAAAACTCCATGCCTGCCCTTCATTTCTAAATCACAGTCATGATTTAGTCTTAATTAAGATGCCAATCTAAAAATATCCCGTCATATTTTAAGAATGAGCCAGTTCATTCTCCGTGTATGTCCTCACAAAGGTGTGAAATGCTTTTATCACAGCCTTGATCTCAGCGCACAAATCTGGGCAGCTGTGAGTTCCCAGAGCTTTTATTAATTGTGATCTACAGCCTTTTGGTCTATATTATACACTGCTCCAGCAGAGCCTACAGTTCTGCAGCAGAGAAGAGAGACTATTGCTAAAAACGCTACAGTACATGCACCAACTCAAGCACTTCTCCTCCTCCTTATCTCTGAAGTTCACGCCAGATTAAATTTTAGATACAGGGCAAGGTTCACCTCTGCCACTGCCCTCCAAGAAATCACTGTGCAAGACTGGAATGCCTCCTCCAGGGAGAAAAGCCTTGGTTCTGCCCCTCTGAGAGAAGCAGATAAGGCACTGTGCCTGCGGGCAGATTACTTCCTCCATTTAGCAGATTTATTTTTTATTTAATTTTTTTTTCCACTGTTCATTACGATGATTCTGGGACTTGTGGTTTTAGAAAAAAAAATAAAAATCATAATCTGGCAACTGCAGTATTTGATTTACAAGCGGCAATCTGCAAATGGTAGAAACTTGCTAGGGGGCACAGGAAAACAGGTGATTTTTCTTCTCTGGCAACAGCATTTTTTAGATGAAAGGCCTTTTTGCCCTCATTCCAGCCCTGCCTGGGTGACAGGGCAGGGAACAGACGCCTCACGTCCTTTGCAAAGCTCTTTGGAGAGCAAGAGAACCAAAAAAGACTTTGTGGATGAGAGAGCTGTGTGAGAGTGCACAGAGAGACCTCATGGGTCACAGGCACTGTGGTGACCACGGCCTACTTTCTGCCTCACGAACGTGCTCGACAGGGCTGGCACAAGGATACAAAGCCACAGATAACGGTACAGAGTGCCGTTATGCTTTATTATTTTCATACATGGCTAATTAAGTTACAAACAATAATTAGTAAGACTTCTTAGTTCGATGGTTACGTGCAGTGCGAAGGGCGCTAGCGCACATACCCCCTCCCAGCCAGCCGCCCGCCGCTGAGGGGCCGCGAGGCGCGGGAAGGCGGATTTTTCAGCAGTGTGGCAGCTGAGGCGCCGCGGGGCGCGGTGCTGCTTTACGGCAGAGCTTTGCGACGCCCCCGGTCGCGCTTTACGGCTGCGTGGCGGGGGCGGGGGGCGGGGAAGATGTCTGAGCGGGGAGAAGCGCCGGCGGCATCGGCGGGAGCAGGGGGCGAGATGCCGGCTAAGAAGCAAAAGCTGAGCAGCGATGAGAACAGCAACCCCGGGGACCTGTCTGGCGATGAGAACGTGAGGAGGAGTGGGGGTGAAGCGGGAAGGTGGGGGCGGCGGTGGCGAGGCGGGAGCGTGCGGCAGCTCTGTAGGCGAGGGGCCGCTCTTTCCCCGCGTGCGTGAGGGAGAATTGGAGGCCCTGAGGTGTGAGCGCCCTTCTCTGTCACTTAAATACTCCTTTTTCTCGCAGAGTAGCCAGAAAAAAGCTGCTTTTCGCGCAGCTCTGTGTCGTTTTTCGTCACTGCCGCGTTGTAAAGCAGCATTCAGTATTAATTTGTGCACACAACACTTTGGGGAATGAAGGAATAGGGGATAATCGCAGCGTTGTAGGGGTTGGAAGGGTTCTCTGGGGATCATCCAGTCTGACCCCTCTGCTAAAGCAGCCTTAGGTTGCTGCTCATAAGCTGCTGTCAGCAGGAATTGGCTGCAAAGGTTGAGGGCTGTTTCCTTTCAACTGTGCTAAAATAGAGGCATTTAAAGCAAAGGTTGTGCGATTGATTTCAAAGTAGCTTAAGAGTTGAAAGATAATCTGAGCAATCTGGTAGTCGGTTTGTGCAGTTGATGAATTGGGGGAGTTACTGAAGTAGCAGTCAGTGAATACTATTGGTGATAGGTAGATGGTTGGACTGGATGATCTTGAAGGTCTTTTCCACAGGTCTGTGATTCAGTTCCGCCTGATGTCTTTCTTGGTTAGAGCGTTCAGTTGAAAGTGAGGGAGATGGATCACATTGCCCATAACCACGTCACCCATAGCCTGTGCAAGTGCTGCTGTTAATGGAACAGCTCTGAGGTACTGTGTGCTACTGCTGCTGGGCCTTACCGAGCATTGGTGCCAGGCAGCTGGATGTGCAGACCACGCGTTTGTCCTTCAACTTCTGAGAACAAGACTATGTTAGGAAATGCTGCTTCTCTGAAAGAGTGATCACGCACTGGAAAGGGCTGCCCAGGGAGGTGGTGGAGTCACCGTTTCTGGAGGTGTTTGAGGGATGTTTGAATGTTGTGTTGAGGGACATGGCTTAGTGAGAACTACTGGTGACAGGTGGATGGTTGGACTGCGTGATCTTGTAGATCTTTTCCAACCCTGGTGATTTTGTGATTCTGTGACTATAAGTTCTTTAGAAGGGATAGACAAGGATGGAGTGGCTGTGCAATAACTCCATGTTAGGGAGTGTTTCAGTGTTTGGCACAGGCTGCCGAGGGAGGTCATGGAGTCACTGTCCCTTGAAGTTTTCAAGAAGAGTAGACGTGGCACTGAGGGACACAGTTAGTGGGCATGGTGGTGATGGTTGAACTAGATGATCTTAGATCATTTTTCTAACCTTAATGATTGTATGATTTGTGAATCTGAATGTAATGTGATGACAGAAGCTCTCAGATTTGCTTTGGTGTTTGTTATAGGCCATCTCAAAGGTGAAAAAACTCTATTTCCAAAATTTTGTTATGAACTTTGCTACTCCTAAAGGCCTAAATTGTCCTTAAAAGATGGCATAACAGTATTGATTTGCAGAAATTCTGTTTTTTCATGGAATCATAGAATGGCTTAAGTAGGAAGGGACATCAAAATCATCTTGTTCCAACCCTCCTGCCATGATCAGGGTTGCTAATCACTAAATCATGCTCTAGATCAGGCTGCCCAGGGCCCCGTCCAACCTGGCCTTGTTCATCTCCAGGGATGAGGCAGCTACAGCTTCTCTGGGCAGCCTGTGCCAGCACCTCACCAGGTACTCCACAGGTATCTTGAAGGCATGTTTGTTGGCTGTTTTAGTTTTAGTTATCTGCTTGTATTGTATTATACCAGGAACTTTTCCACGACACTCGTGCTTGTTCCTCTCCACGGAAATCTTTAGTAAAAGGCGAAAGATTTATACGATCTGAAGAGAAACCAGAGTAACTTGGTGTTCTTCTACTGACTGCATCTGGTTAGTCCAGAGAAAGCTTCAGTTCTGTGAAGTATTATTCTTGACAGCGAGTGCTCTTAGGAGACCAGCGTTTGGCAGGCTCTGAAATTGTTTAGGGTAAAGGAAAAGAAATAGCTGAATGTAAAAATTGAAAAACCTGGTTATCCTTACTGGGAGAAAGGATGCAGTGTGAAGGAAATGACTGACCTTATTCCATATTCCTAGTGGAGCTTCGTGATGCAGCTTCCTGTTACACTTCATGTCTTGCAATGACAGGTTGTTTATTGTCTGTCTGCCTCTGTCTCCCCAGATTTGGATCTTGTCATCACGTGGCTGTGAAATGAGTTGTATTCCACCAGCTTTCTGCTGGGAAACGTACAGGCAAACTTGCCAGTGGGAAAATGAAGTTTGTTGATTTAACAAGCTGAGCTTTCTCACATGGGTTTACTTGTTATGATGCAGGTGAAGTGTTCTTCCCCATAGCCCTCCTAATAGTTTTGTGTCCTTTTTATACTGTGGTGCCCAAAACTGACTCGCAGTGCTGGAGATGAGAATCTGTTAGAAAGAGTAGGAGGGAGGGGTGAAACTTCCTCTTCCAGTGGCACTGCTGGCTTATTGCAGAACTGTGCCTGACGCTGCTGAGGGCCTACAGAGCTATTCCAGAGATTCCTGACATGGGTAAACATGTTTTTAAACAAACATTGTCTTGATTCATTAGTTCACGAGTATTCGTTTCATCTACGTCAAAATACTTTCTAGGAAGGCAATGCCTTTTATTCAGATATTTCTTAAGAGCGGCTTCCTGGATTCCAAAGCAATTTCACTGTATCGCAGTTCATGTGTGACCCTTCTGGATTAGTCCTGGTGTGACTCATGTTCTGTTTCCAGAGATAAATGCTGTTATGTTAGTAACAGATTTAAGTATGTGAATCTAAATAAAAACCAAGTCCTGAGGGATCTTTTGTTCTTATGCAGGAAGAAGGGGAAAGTGAAAAGGCTAAGTGCTGCAGTTAGCTGATGAATTTATACGTCGGTTAATTATATCTTTGTTCCATTCTGTGTCGTTCAAATGTTTTCAGGATGATGCTGTTAGTATTGAAAGCGGTACTAACACAGAACGCCCCGATACCCCAACAAACACTCCTAATGCGCCGGGAAGAAAAAGCTGGGGAAAGGGAAAATGGAAGTCAAAGAAGTGCAAATATTCCTTCAAATGTGTAAATAGCCTCAAGGTAGGTATATGTAAACTTCAGCATGGGAATGTGGGATACTGTTTGCTGTCAGTGATGTAAATACAGGCTGTGAGACAGTCAAGGCAATTATATACATATAATAGAATATTTAAAAATATATAATAGAATATTTAAAAATATCTGTGTTTGGAGTTCATTCGAAGAAAGTACTTTTGTGATTTGGGATTGTCCAAGTTTTGAAGAAAAAGAATGCTAAGAAATAGGAATCAAGGTAGCAATGCTGCAATTAGTCCAATTATTTTACAAAGTTATGTTTGATATTTTATAATTATGAATTTTATCAAAGCTGTAGTTATTGATACGGTGGATTAACAGAATAAAAGTGGATGTGTGACAGCTTGCTGCGAAGCACAGATTCCATACAGATTCTTCTTCCTGATAAAATGTATTTAAAAAAACAATGTTGGGAATAGTTTTCTCCACACACTTTTCACATCAGTTTTTTTTGTTACCTGACCGTTGCCATTAATCAGTTGTCATGAATCACATCATGCAGTTTGATTAATTAGTCACGAGGGTTGTGTTTGTACCTGATGGGGGTCATGTTCACCCAGAATACCTGCTGCTGTGAAGGGCTGTGGGTTTGTGATTTTTGACTCCCTGTTTTTGTGTTTAGGGTATTGTTTTCTTCTGTACTAAGCACAGGACTGTGAGGAACTGAATGAGTTGTTTTCACTTTGATTCTTGCACAGCGCCAGGATATTTTTTCATTCCCCATCCTCACGTGGAATATTTATGTGTTAAAAGCTGTAAATATGCCAGTGGATTTGATTTTTATAAGATTTCTTAAAAAGGGAAAGCTTGAATCCTGAACACGATAGGAGTTGTGTTAAACTTTTTGTCTGTCTAACAAGAGGTTATGTGCAGCTCCACAGAGGGTGATTTTTGCAGAATTTCTTTAACAGGTTTGTGTCATTCTCTCACACTTAGCTGCTGGGTTTTGCTGATGTTGCTGTTTCTGAATTTAGGCTTCAGGCTGCCTCACTGAAATGTTAGGCTAGCTAAGTAGGAGGGGATGAGAGATTTGGATCATGAAAACCTCCTGAATGAGCTTTGCTGCAGAAGAAACTGTGATGTGAAGCTACTCTGACAAAAGTGTCTGGGGAAAGCAGTTGATCTTAATGTGTTTTTTGAGGTATAAGAGTGATCTCTGGATCTTTCAGAGCGGAGGAGTTCTTTCATTTTCACCCAGGTAGGCAGCAGTTGGTGTGGTTCACATGAATCGCCCCCACAGATGGTGCTTTTTGTGGCTTCAAGTCCTGGTTAAACAGGGCTGTGGGCCTTTCAGCACCCAAACATTTAGCAGTATCTGAATTGTGCTTAGCGTATTTGTTTTCTTTCCACAGACATCCCAAACTGGTTAGCACTTTTCAAGGGTATTCTGGAATAACAGAACATCTCTCATACCTACTCTGGGGTGACCCAAAAGATCACCCTGTGTGGTTAATCCCCAACTTCAAGGACTTGGATGGGGGTCTGGGAACAGATTGCTGTGCAAGTGGAATCAAACACAGAGAGTAAATGTAGCATTTCAGCTGAGTGAGATATATTATTTCTAAGTCTTCCAGTTTCTTTTTGAATTGGTTTAAAGACAGGTTAGGTAATTCTTTTTACTTCATTTTTGAGGAAGCCTCTTTCCTTTTTTCTTATCCTTGATATTACAGATACTATGAAGATAAACTGTAACAACTGAATATTGTGTGTTGGTTCAGAGAGACTTTGCACTTGTTGGATATCACATTGTTCTTTCTTTGAACTGTGCTGTAAGATGGATGTACTGAAATTAATGAAAAGTCAACATGATTTAAAGACATAGAAACTTATTTTAATATCCTTTACAGATGTATAGATACATATTTTTTCAATTTCTTATTCTTGGTTTGCCATCTTTCATTTGCTTTGACTTCTTTCCTCCTGGAGACAATGAAATATGGCCATCGCTGACTGCTTTGAATGTCAGATGGTTATGATTCAGCCTGAAAAACACAGTGCTTGCTAAATATGCCTTTTAACCACTAGTGTGGAAGTTATTTTGGCTGAAATTTAAGCATCAGGCAAACAAATATGTAACTTGGAAAATGACAGGAAATCAAGAAGTGCTTTATTTCGTTGCTTTTTACAGTACTACGTTACTGGAAGGTAACTGAAAAAATCTTTGCTGTCCATGGGCTGAGAGGTGACGTAGCTCATAAATGAGCAGATACAACTAACAGAAGTACATCCTCACTTCTGCATATAATTTTTTCTTTTAGATCTTCCAGCAAAGAGGAATTCTGCTTTGATGTGCTCCCTTCAGAACAGTGCCACCGTTTGCCCTACCCTTCCCTCTTGTTTAGGGTGTGGTTGAGTAGTTGTTAGCTGTTGAATGTCCTATTTTAGCTTTTACTCACTGTCCCTGGGCCTGGGAATTGGATTCTAGTTTGTTGTCGGGTAAGGGAGAAGTAACTAAAACCACAGCCAGCGGTGGTTTGCTTCCCTTTCAGGAAACCAGGAATGCATGTGTGGTCAGTTTGTGCCTCGTTAGCAGCGTGGGTGATGGCATTTTAAAATGTGCTCATGCACTTGCAGGTGATTATTTTGCGTGTGCGTTGGCTTAGTGTTTGTTTCTGCCTTCTGTCTAAAAACAGGTCTAACCTTATTTTGTCTGTCTGAAGCTGAGTTGCTATTTAGTGAGTGAGGGCAGAACCAACTGCTGATTATCTTTTTACTTTCGTAGTAACTGTAGGATCTGTTTCTTTGCCTTCTTTCTGGTGCACAAAGAACCCAAGTATTTTGAGCCTCTGCTCTTTATTTCTACTAGAGTCAAGGTGGCTTTTCACCATTCTACTCTTGAACCAATACTTGAGTCAAACTGCCTATAAAACCAAGAGTCAGGTTGTTGTGACAGATTCAGCCTCTCAGGCGTGCAGCACCTAACAGTGTAATGTTTTGAAAACCTGGTTAGCAGCAGGAACAAAGATTAAAACAGATAAATGTTATCAAAATAGCATGTGCTCTTTCTGACCAGTGAGGATGATGGTAGTTTAAATGAGGTAAGTGTACCTTTAGACAGATACCTGGGTGTTTTCCAATTCTACACCACTCAATTTAATTTTAATGCTTTACTGTTGCTGAATACCTCCTTTTTTTTCTTCTGTACCAGGGTTACTAATAACCTTGCTACTTTTCCCACGTTCCCCATCAAACAGCTACCCTGTTCTTTAATGTTACAGTGGCTAATGCTTAGAGTTCAACTTCAGACATGCTTTTCTTAATCTGTATTCAGCTTTGAAAATTGTACCTCTCCTTACAAGATGCAGGAGGGCCTTCACTCCAAGATTTTTTTTTGCCTAGCTCTTCCAGCTGTCCCTGTTGAGGTAATAACAGATCCTGCCTTTCCCAGTAAATATGGCCTACTTTAAATTCTTCCAGACTTCCTTTTTAGCAACCTTTTTTATTTTTGAGCAGAATTGAATTCCTCACCCATACCCCCTCCTCAAATTTGTTCTGTGGTTCCTGTATGGTTTAGATCTGCCAGGTCTAATATTTCTCATGTTGTCTCTGAAGCACTGCCATTTGAAGGCTGCTTAACAGCCATCATGAGGCACTTCCTTCCTGCCTGTACTGTCCCAGACAGTCCCCTGTGGGGAGGCACTTTAATGAACATTATTCTTACTGAAAACATCCTGTCAGGACAGGCCAAAATACTGTTATCAATTAATAACAAGCACCACCATATTCATTGTGATTTATAAACATAT